GGTAAGAGATCAACCGAAGGACTTGTATGCATGCATATAAGCATAACCAATGGACATAAGACACTGGGGGATAGGGGAAGCCAGGGGAATGTCAAGAAGGGGGAAAAAAGGAGACATATATAATACTCTTTGTAATACTTTAAGCAATAAAACAAAATTTTTAAAAAAATTGGAGAGTAAAAAAATAATAAAGGAACTACAAGAACTGCATAAAGTTATAAAGATGCTAAGGAACATCAAAAGTCCCGTGGATATTCAGTTCATCATACATGTCTTTATCTTAAAAAACCCCCAAAAAACCCACAAAAGTGTTCTTGATGGGTTAACAATATTGTTTTATTTTTTGGAACTTGAATAATCACCAGATTGATTTTACCACACTTGGATTAAAATCTGAAGATAAAAGTGATTTTTATCTATGGCTACTTCAGCTCTACAATGGCAAATGTAAGTAGTTGGGACAGAGATGGTATGGCCCACAAAAAGTCTAAAATATTTACTATCAGGTCCTTTAAAGAAAAAATTTGCTGACCCCCGATCAAGATTACATGGAAAAAGTTAAAGGGTCTAATTTACATTTTTAGACTTGTACAAAAAAGCCCTGAAAAGGAAAGTGTTTCTATCCAAACCTCACAGCTGAAGTTTCTCCCTTAATCCACCTCCTTATTACCATCCCCTAGTCCAGTGATGGCGAACCTTTTGAGCTCGGCGTGTCAGCATTTTGAAAAACCCTAACTTAACTCTGGTGCCGTGTCACATATAGAAATTTTTTGATATTTGCAACCATAGTAAAACAAAGACTTATATTTTTGATATTTATTTTATATATTTAAATGCCATTTAACAAAGAAAAATCAACCAAAAAAATGAGTTCGCGTGTCACCTCTGACAAGCGTGTCATAGGTTCGCCATCACTGCCTTAGACAGTGGTTCTCAACCTTCTGGCCCTTTAAATACAGTTCCTCATGTTGTGTCTTTTGAGAAAATTTTTTAAACTTAAACTATATAGGTAGGTACATTGTTATTAACTTAATTAGGGTACTCCTAAGGCTTAGGAAGAACTACACTCAAGGGGCCAAAAAGCCGCATGTGGCTCGCAAGCCGCAGTTTGCCGACCACGGCCCTAGCTCATCAGGGCTTATAACTGTGAACAGTTTATCATAATTAAACTTTATGATTAAAAAACTATGTTATATCAGAATTCCACATCCACTTGTAAATTATCCTAATTCTTTTTCCTAAGTTCTCACATTGTTCCCACTTTTTCAAAAAGAATAGTCTGATTTTTATCTACAGTCCTTCTGTTTCTTACAACTCTAGATTAATCTGTTTCTCTGCTCCTATTTCCCACACATATCTTTTAAATAATACTTTCTTATGTACATGTTCTTAGCATTATTTTCTTCCAGCTCCACACTTGCTCATGCATCATTTATCTGCTTCTACAGCTTTCATCATCATTCAGTACAGCTACTTCCCCCTCGCTTTGACCTTTCCTTTAAACATCATACCTGCATTTCCAAATGCTATACATCTTCATTTGGGTGTGTTGCTTTCCTGTTCACATTTGTCTGGTTTGACAAACTGAATTTCCTTTGACATCTAAATCATTATCTCTGCCCACAAAAAGAAATCATAAAATGCATTCAAAAATAGCGATTATTCATTGTTTACATTCCCTAACTCAGTTAATTGCATCACTTTCCAAATGGTTTCCAAAGCTAGACACAAAGGAAACCTCTCAACAATCTACCACTCACATAATTTAAAATTCTTCCTGCTATCTGCGGCATAGGAGTTGAGTCATTCTCCCCACTCACACTCCTGTGCCCACCATTCTAAATGCAGGTGACGAACAATAGGTGGTCATAGTTTGGCTCAGTTAGATTTTGGTTTGAATCCTATGCACCCTGGCTAGAGAAGCAGGGGAGAAGAAAAAGAGGACTGAGCAAGGCAATTAAAAAGGCCGCTGAGGGGATTCTCAGGGAGGAATAAGATGATTATAAGAAAAGAGAAGCTGCAGAAAGAGCAGCGTTTTAGGTTGCTTTCCTATATGACCCCTTAAATGTTTTCTCATTAAATCTTTAGTAAGTCTATATTCCTAAGCGATACCCTTACAAATTGAATTTATTTAAGGGCTAAAACTGAGTGCCCTGGCCTGGAGATGTGTGTGAGGTGAGTCTAATAAGACTTTGGATTTTATTGAACTGTGTACATATTTGCTTCCACTTTTATTTTGTAAATTTCTTTGAAAGCATGAATCATGGTTTATAGTAACTGATCTCTGTTTATGCTATTGATTTGGATTCTATCCATCTCTCACCTGTATTTCTCCTGTAATTTCTTTTTTTAATACTATCTCTGTGTCCTATTCTCCCAATCCTTCATATTATAACCAGCTAGACAAATGAGTTGGCACTCTTCCACAATCTTACCTCCTATATCTTATCCCTGTCCTATATCCTATCACTGTCACTAGCACAGCACACACTCAAAAACTCCTTGCGCCTATTTATTCATTAGTTGAATCAGAAATTTAAAGATAAGATTCTTTAGAAAACAGCTCTTCCGTGAGACATCTTACCCATTATCAAACAACTGCTGTTGGATATACCCCCTTCTCCCATTAAATAACATTTCATATGGGACACTTTTAACGAGGCTCGTGATATTCTATCTTTAAAGCTCTCTCTTCCAGTGTACTAAATTGATGTTTAAAAGTATGCCAGACACTGTTCTGACAGTGCCAGTGAACAAAAAAAGACAAAATCCTTGCACTCATTCTTGTTACATTCTAGTACAGAGAAAACAAATAAATAAAACAAGAAAATATCAGATAATGATGTGATAGAATTCAATTACTTTAGATCTTGCTTGTGTACATTGTAGAAGATAGGCAGATGAGTTCCTCTGACATATTTGAGCGTGACCTGCATGACAAGAAAAAAAAAGACAGTTATGGAAATATCTGAGGAAAAAGCATTCTTGGCTGAGGGAATATCTTCAGTGATAGACCAGATCTATCATCAAAAGATCCTGTCAAACACTGCAGTTTTTATTATCTCTGTTTCGGTCGTTAGAAATTTTGTGGGCAAAAAATAAACTACTAGTGTCAATCCTTCTCTCTCCTGCCCAATTCCTGCCTTTCAGCATAAAAGTCAATGTTGTAACTATTGTCTGCTTACAGTTGCTACTTAATAGTTGTACTACAGTGAGACTTCTCAGTGAAGCCTCTACTACACCAAGTGTTGCCAAGAGGAGCAGTCACCCCAAAGTCACTGTTTTACTGTTTATATAGGACCAAGTGTCATCTTCTTCATTCTACTGAAAGAACATGGTTTCCCAAGTGGGGTATGCAAAACAATGGGGAGTAAGAATAAAATATTAGACTTGATGCATATTAAATATATGTTTATAAAATATGAAGGGATGTATGTGTTTCTAATACTTACTGTGCTGGCTGACATTGCTGTCCTCACTTGTTCCAGAAGTCAATACATCGCGGTGTGGGGTGGGCATTGAGGCACTCATCAGTTGGTTTCCTTTCTGTGAATTATACTGTACCACAGTTTATGTGCTACCCAGAATGTCATCAATATGGTTAATTTTTATAAAATAAGATCTTTAAAATAATGATAATTATTATATCTTTATAATAATACTTTATAATAAGACAAGGGTTGACCATGAAAATCATTTTTACCACATGGTAACCCATTATTGGTTTTCTGTAAGAAGCATTGTTCAACTGAAAGCTGAATAACACTTCTCTATAAAAATGACCTGACAAGTGTTCACAATTTTCTGACCTTTTCTATGAATACAAATGACTGTGAGATTGGTTTTTTTTACTTTTATTTTTTATTGTTTAAAGTATTACATATGTCTCCTTT